TATCTGAACATGTGAAGTCCCTTTGGTGGCAGTACGATTTCAGAGGTACACTGTAACAATTTGTTTATTTCCATTAGCCATTGCTGTGACAATGGCTACTCTTCCAGGGGTCCTTAAAAAAGGCAAAATAAACATTACAAAAACAATTATAATTACTTACACCTAATATAACATTAGTAACATAGTGTATCAATTCATAAATGTGTAATTATAACACCCTACATGACAATAATTAAACAATGTTCTTTTGAAAGCTCTAACATTTGTTATATTTAAAAAATAATGAAGGAAGGGAATTCCATGTTCTAATTCCTCTAAAAAATAACAGTCTTTTGTCCAGCATTCCTGTTGCATTGTGGAAGAACAAAACAACCTTTTAAAGCATGTCTAGTATTGAACATGTGTACAGTTTGGCTAAACAAAAGTTGATTATACAAAACAGTTGCTGTCTCAGATACTACAATATTTCTAAAAAAGCTTAAAGGGGCAATATCAACTTTTTTTTAAACCAAAGGCCAACATACTGCCCTGTGCATACTGAGAACATTTGTGTATGTTGAACAATTCAGTGCAAGACGTGCTGCCCTATTTTGAACGAACTACAGTTTAGTTGGAGGTTTTTCTGAAGCACCGGACCAAACCATAGGGAAATATTGCAAGTGAGACAAGACAACTGTGTTAATGATTTGAGGAATTAATTTTAAAGGTATATACTTTGAACATCTTTTTGTAACAAGTAGCTGTCTTCCCATAACTGTAACGATGTGCTCAATCTGCTGAGGCCACTCCAATTTGCTGTTTATGGGGATACCCAGAAGTCTAATTTCTTCTGAGTAATGGCTGCCATTTATAGACAAACCTAATTTTGGCTGAGCTTTTAGTTTCCAATTTGACCCAAATATTGTGCTTTAACTTTTAAATACATTTAAAGCCAATTTATTATTTTGCACCTATTTTACATACTCCATAAATTCGCTGTCCAGGGTGCTGGACAAGTGTGTCTACAGATGAACTTGCCATATATATATTGTGGTGTCATCAGCGCACATTATGGCCTTAGCACGCTGTAGGACAGATGGCAAGTCATTGGTGAAAATAAAAAATAGCAACGGTCCTAAGCAGCTGCCCTGTGGAACTCCACATTGCAATTTTTTATAGTTGAAAAACTGCCATTAAAAAAATACACATTGCTCTCATTGAGAAAGGTAACTAGCAAATCACCCTACAGTAAGCAATAAAAATTTATAATACACAAGTTTATCTAACAGTAAATCATGATCTCACAGGTCAAAAGCAGAATTAGTTTAATAAAAGAGCTCCAACTAAGTTATTCTTGTCAATGGAATTTAAACAAGCATCTGTCATCTGAGTTAGTGGATGCTGTTGAATGACCTTTACGATAAGCATGTTGAAAAGGTGTAAATAACTGATTTACTAAAAAGTAATTTCCCACTTGCTCAGCAATCAATCTTTCCAGTATTTTACCAAGTATTGTTAACAGGCTAATGGTCGACAGTTTGTTCCACTTAGACTCTGTTGTGTTTTTTCAAATTGGAACAGCTTTTGCTGTCTTCCATTTTGTAGGAAAAATGCTGTTTTCTATACTTGTATTAAAAATATGACAAACAGGACCAGCTATACAATTTGCTACTAACTTCAAAAGTTTCCCATCAGTTTCTTCCATACCTCCAGGGGGGTTGCATTGCTTTATTTCACCACATTCCACCACTTTTTTTGTCTGAGTCCACACTGAAGTTTGGGGTTGTGAACTTCATTCCACATAACAAATATTTCAGCTGGAGAGAATTTATGAATCAAAAGGAGTTCTTTCATGTAACAAGGGTCATATTTATCTAAATTTTGGGAGGGGATGTACCATCCAAGTGTTTTCACACCCATATGAATGACAGGTCCTCGTTTGGCTGCGGCCAAACACATCCCAATATAAACATCGTCAATAGGATAAATCTCAATGGTCCTAGACATGTTGTAAATAATTGAAGCTGTGTAGCGGGACAAAATGTAACCTCCACCACCACAGTAGGGTGGGTAAGGTGCTTTCTTATGGATTTGATATGGAATATAATACTTGCTCCATCGTGCTCTGATGGGGTATGCATTTCTGATCACATGGCCTGCAAAGAGGTGCTTGCTCCCGTCATTGTTCTTGAGGCTTTGAAGGTAGTCCACCATGTTTTCTGTGTGGGCGAAGACATCATCGTCGCCATTCATCAGGAAACGAACCTGCGGGCAGCGTCTGTCCAGCCACTCGAAGAAGAGAATCTGCTTCAGGGTGAGGTTGAAAAAGGATTCATCGAAGTCCCATTGGAGGATGTCGTTGTACAGTTGATGTTCCAGAGCCAGGAGTTTGTTCATTCTTTTTTTCACAAAACCAGAACCCCCTGTTCCTGCAATGAAGACGGTCCGAATCCATTTCCCGTTGTGCATCCTCTCTTTAGCCCAGGTCTTGCGCAGCACTTCTCTGTGCTCAAAATTCTTAGGGTGGCTCTTAATAACTAGCAAAAGGAAGATGTCCTCAGGTGTATTAGGTCGTCCACATTTGTGAGGGAGGTCAAGTATCATTGGGAAACTGCGACAATGGCGATAGTAAAGGAACGATTGAATCTGGTCAGAGAATAAGGCAAAGCCTGGGAGTTTTGCAGCACTCATATCTTGTTCACATTTTTGAGGTAAGGCTTCTGTGTGTGAGACAACGTCCTCTTCTTTTTGTAGGAATTTATTCTGAGTCACATTGTAGAAAGGTTTAGGTTCGAAGAGTTTGTCTGGATCTTTAAAATAGACACACATCACAAGGGTGCCTAGCAGAAGAGTAAACGGCACAGAGAAATAAAATCTGCAACAACAAAAAACAAAAAAGAGAAAAAAGTAATAAATCAGATAACTGAAATCAGGATGTTTTTCCAGAGACAATAAACACTGATGGGTGTCTGGTATACCAAAACATATTTTCATAATTTAATAGTGCTTCTCCATTGTGTGAGAAAATGTCAAGAAACAAAAGTCGATCTCAGGTAGCCTGTTATTGTATTCTAAGAAGCAGAAAGGAATGTTGTGCTTGAATGTTGAGTCAAATTCCTGCATGCTCATCAACTGTTTATCTTTGGAAAATCACATCATTAAAGTTCCAGTTTTGTAATTTAATGTGATTTCTAAGCAAAAATATGATTTTCATTCATATTAAAAGATAAAATTGTACCACCCAAATTCCAACGAAGTTAGGACATTGTGCAACATAAATAAAAACTGAATATGATTATTTGCAAATCCCACATGGAAACTTGATAAAGTAACAACTGAAAACCGTTAGAAGACATAAATGTAGCAATGCTAAATATCCTGCTGTCAGAGACAACATTATTAATCACGAGATGTGATGTTCTAGAACAGGTTGAATTGTTTAAACAGCTCATTACAATGAGCAATTAGAACTGAGTTGCAGACAAAAAAACTGCTAATCCTGGTTTAATCAAATTTTACACTCCTTGTAATATCTTTATTTTTCCTACTTAACTACAGAGACATCAATCCTCCTTTACTTTTTCACAGAAAACAGGCAGAGTGAAGTACAGCAGCAAAGGGCAAGGGGTATTCTGCTTAAAAAACACATAGTTCCACCAACATGGTACAATGATATCACATATCTCTCTTTGGGATAACGTAACATGTTCAAAACTGAACGGCTCCATTGATGTCTAAGTGACAGTCCAGCCCAAAGTATCCAGATCCAAAATGGCAAACATGATGGCTAACCATCATTGTGCTGGTCAACAAACTAGCAGGAAGCAGTAGTGGTAAATTTAGAAATCTGAAGGGACTGTAACCTCAAGAAGAAGGAACACAACCCTAAGGGCAAAAACAGAAAAGAAACTGTAGACATTGTGCAAAGCCTCAATGATGCCAGTGGCCACTGAAACACTCAGGACTGTGACTTCCAAACAGGAAAAGAGGCTCAAACAGATCCCAGGAATAACCGCAGACCACGGAGCCCGTTCAATCACATAGCATAAAAAAACATTCATGTGTGGCCACAAGATAAAAACCTGGGACCAGAAGATAGTTAATGCGTGGCCACAAAATAATAACGTGGTCATGCAATACTAATGCGTGGCCATGCATTATTATCTCTAGCCATGCGTTAATTCTAAAATCCAACAATTAAAATAACAAACTACACCTTCTTTCACAACATCTCAGTGCATTTCAGACCTATGGACACAGACAAAGACTGATCCATCTTAAGGACATATTTTGACTAGTTTTGACAGATTTTGGCTTTTTAAAACCTACAATTCAGCATTTAGCCAAGTTTTCCACAACGTCACACATGCTTCAACCAGGAATAGCTGGAGTAACATGTCTCTTCTACAGTTTTGTTATTTTGTGAGTCAGTAGCTGAAAATGTTGTAAATTACTGCCTTAGACAGTCGACGATGCTCCCTGAACACAGTGAAAGAAACATAAAATACTTTGCTTCTTATAAAATTTATTGTAAGTTTTTATGACTTCAAAGCTATTGAAAACAACATAGAGTTATTAAAAAGTTAATTGAATAAAACTTTCATGAAACTCATATCAATTGCTTGTACACAACACTGTTCACAAGGCAGACGAGCAACAATACCCATGGAGATGAAAATCAAAAGAAAATCATGATTTTTACCGTTTCATGTTGTTAGCCTGACAGGAGCACCTGGTGTAAAATCCTCTGGATGACCATGAGAAGATTCTCATGATGCTGACCAAACTGAACATTTAGATTGGATTACTATCATAAATTTAGTTAGGAAAAAGATAAACTGGTCACAGAGTTTGTCCAGTCAGTCAGCGTCTGTGAAACTGTAACGTCAAGTACCTTAGCACTGAAGCAGAGAACAGGTGGAACGAGAAATGCAAGGTTTTCGGTACAACTTACATCACCGTGTACAATCCTTTATATAAACAGAGGTTATTTGCCATAGAACAGTGAAGTATCTATTTGGGGTAAGACCACATAAACCCCTCATAATTTTATATGCCAACCAAATGGTCTGTCTCATTTTCATGTCACCATCTGACTTCTGAAACATGTTTGATCAAAACGCTAAGCAATACCTCGTTTGTCGCCAATGAGTGCTTTAAAAGTTCAAGTATGCAATGACAATGACAGTTATCACGTGCGCTCTGAAAATTTGTCGAGTCACTCTCTCGTTTCAAACTTTCCGGGAATCAAGTGGAACAGAAAATACACGTCTGTGTATGAGCTCATAGTTAAATGATATTTAATTACAAACCACACAAATATTATACAGTAGGAATAGTTTGGTCATTTTTGAATGGTTCTGTCAAATCGTTATCAAAAGTTTGTAGACTACCTGTGGTTAAGCTAGACTTTTATGTAAAGGGGTGGCCAAGGATTTTTTTAAAGAGGGCATACAAATTCTTTTTTTTTAAATCTAAGGTTCATGAAATCAAATTGGGTAAGGAAGATATTCTCTATTTGTCAAACCATCAAAGATTCTTTTTCTTTCTCTCACTCTTACACACACACACACACACACACACACAC